TGCCCATTTTTTGATTGTGTTTTCTGTTTTTTTGTTCCCTAGTCAGATACATAATTATTGATTTTTATAGGTGTGTTTTTGAAGTACATCCTGATACTGATGGATGAAATGCTATGATGTAGGTGATTTCATTCTAAAGAATCCAGTGTGGATAGAAATGAAATAAGGTTAGTCATGAATTGACCTTCTTTGAAGCTGGGTTTGTTGAAGCTTGGTGATAAATCCATGAGGGATTATCCTTCTCCACTCTTGTTAATGCAAATTTTCTAAAATTAAAAGTTTAAAAACTCAGCTTCCTCAGAGAGATCTTCCCTTACCTATGGAAGGTAGATTAATTAATCTACCTATAGAAGGTAGATTAACACTCTCCATTTTGTAGCACACCAGTCTATTTTTTTTCATAGTACCTACCACAATGTTATCTATTTACTAGTTTACTTCTCTCCACTAGAATTTAGTTTCCATGAGAACAAAACTCTGCCTTGTTCACCGCTGAACTCTGGGGCTGAATCTGGCACACAAAGGTGTTTCATAAATCTCTGTTGCATGGAAGGATGGGTAGAAATAAATTTCAAAGCAGAAATTTTTGTTGCATGGAAGATAGTTAGATTTTTTTTTTTTAAACGTATTACACTTTTTTTTTAATTAATTAATTTATTTATTTATTTATTCGTTTGTTTGTTTGTTTGTTTGTTTGTTTATACATGCACTGGGTACAGTCAGAAGTACGGGAGGGCGAGAGAATTCACCAGAGCCAGAGCGGGGAGCAGAGCAGGCAGAAGGACCGAAGTACACTGCTGAGGGGAGCAGCGGGTGGCAGGAGAGGTCTGCGCGCCATGTGGGACCCTCCTCTGGTGGCCCGGGAGCAGCTGGGGATTGAACCGGCACCGCAGAGGCTGCGGGCAGCTTCGCAACCCAGCGCTCAACCGCTGCGCCACCGGGGAGGCCCTACACTTTTTTTTTTTTAAAGATTCACTCATTTATTTATACAAGCAAGGGTTCAGTCAGAAGCACGGGAGGGTGAGAGAATTCACCAGAGCCAGAGCGGGGAGCAGAGCAGGCAGAAGGACCGAAGTACACTGCTGAGGGGAGCAGTGGGCAGCAGGAGAGGTCTGCGCTCCATGTGGGACCCTCCCCCGGTGGCCAGAAGCAGCCGGGGATCGAACTGGCGCTGCAGAGGCTTCCGGCAGCTTCGCAACCCAGCGCTCAACCGCTGTGCCACCGGGGAGGCCCAGAAGATGGTTAGATTGGCAGACAAGAGTGCATAAGCACAGGCTGGGGGAAGAATACATTTATAACAATACCCAAAGATACCAGAGAAGGGGAAACTTGCAAGAAAGGGACATTCAACTTATTAGTTGAACCCTAGGATCTGTGACTTAACTTTTTTCCAAATATAAGAGAAAAATAAATGAGATTCACAATTATTTTTAGCCATGAACCCTATCTTTTTTTGGACGAAATCTCCTGAAACAGCCCAATATGTAAAAGAGAACAACACAATAGCCAAAAGCAGATTTATTGTTATAGTTTAGTTTCAAAAACAAACAAACAAAAAAGCATCCAGTGGTTATGAGGAATCTAGGAAAACTTGTCCCAGTAATGCCAACTTAGAGGTAAAGGGTTGACTAGGGCAGCTGAGAAGTGGAATTTTCCGCTTGGCAGGTTTCTTCTCCCTTCCCTGGTCATTGTTTTCTGATGAGGAGAATGTTCCTGGCCCTGTTGGGGGTTCCCATGGCCCAGAGCGCATAGTTTTTTTTTTAAAACTTGACCTATTCCGTTTGAGAGAGTAGAACTCCCTCATCAAGTCTTCCACTTCCCACTGCTCTTCCTTCAGCCTCCGACAACAGTGCAGGGCAGCGGGATCAATGGGGTGGGCTTCTGTGTTGAAGATATAGCCCCCAGCCCCCAAAATGCATTCCCCATAGGGAGTTATCACCGCATCGAAGGTGGAACCGTTGTTGTGGATGAAGTTGGTTGGATCAAAGAGAAGATACAGGTATTTCACAGTCTCAGCCAGGAAGAAAGACTCCATGCGGTTGTCAAGCTTGTGGTCTCGCAGATCTTTGATCTGCCACAAGGGAGAGGGAAGCAAGTCAGAACAGCACCATAGGGCAGCAGAAAGGGTCAGGGGACCCCCACAGGAATTGCTGCTCTGCCCCAAGGCAGTTGAGGGCCTTTGGGCAAATCATTTATCTTCTCAGACACCCTTTTCCAAGACACCATTATGTCATTCCTGGATTATCACAACTCCCAACAGGGCTTCCTGCTTCCATTCTTACCCTCAAGTATACAGATCTCCCTCAGTTTATTATAAGATGGAGTTATATCTCCACTGTCCCCACAAACCCATTGGAAAATCAGAATATCCTAAGTTAAAAATGCCCTTAATACACATCCAATCCACCGAACATCACAGTGTACCCTAGCCTACCTTAAACGTGCTCAAAACACTTAAATTAATTTTTAAGTAGGCAAAATCATCTAACACAAAGCCAATTTTATAATAAAATGTTGACTATCTCAGGCATAGGTTGGTATTTATCAACATGATGGGATGTGAAAACACAAAACACAATAACCACTGGTACCCAGCGTAAGTATCAGTCATTCACCCTCATCACAGATGCCTGGCATCACAAGAAAGTATTGTACTGCATGTCACTAGACTGGAAAAGACCAACATTCAAAGTATGGTCTCTATTGAATGCACATTGCTTTCATATTGTCATAAAGTTGAAAAATACTGAGTTGAACCACTATAAATCAGGGACCATCTGTATTTATATCATACATCTAATATGTCAATCCACTGAAAATCATTACAGTTTGTACCCATTTCATGTAGACTGGAAACCAAGTCCACACTAAGGCCTGGTGGGTCCATCATAATCTGGTGGCTGTTCCCTTCTTGACCTCATCTCTCAGTGTTCTCTTCCTTGTTCTTGCTGTGCTAGCCATGTGGCCTTTCTGTCCCGGGAGCAAGAAAGCATGCCCCTGCCCAGGTTCTTTCCATGTGTTGTTCTTTCAATCTGCAGTACCCTCCCTTTAGATCATCATAGTTTGCTCACTTGTTTTCTTCCAGTCTCTGTTCAAATGCTATCTCATCAGGAAGTCTTCTGTGACCTCCCCACACGACATGACAACCTCCTATCTCCTGTCTTTTGTGACTACAAATACAGATCTATCTAAGCTTTCCCTTTCAATGACATTATGAAAATGTAGCACCACTTATTGAACTAATCTTCTCTTGATAGGCTTCAAGGTGGCTACCAAGCTCTTGTTCTTTTTTTTTTTTAATTTTTATCTATTTATTTATTTTTTAAGATTTATTTATTCATGCACACAAGAACCAGGGTATAGGCCAGATGTATGGGAGGGTGAGAGGATTCACCAGAGACAGAGTGGGGAACAGGCAGATTGACTGAAATACACTGTTGAGGGGAGCAGCAGGCAAGACAGGAGAGTTCTGCCACACAATATGGGATTCTCCCTAGTTGGCAGGGATCGAACCCGCGCCGTAGAGACTGTGAACAGCTTCACAGTGCTCCGCCCAAGCGCCTGCGCCACCAGGGAGGCCCAAGCTCTTGTTTTTAAAAACAACTAATTAAGAGTCTTATGAAGAAAAACTTATACTAGATTTACAATCATGGATGAGTAAGTTTACTGGCTACAAACGCTTACTTTAGTTTTTCGGAATTAGCAATATATTTTCTTCAACAAAACTAATTCTCAGTGGACATCTATTTTACACACAAAAAAATGCTACTAAAATGTGGACTTGATGTACGAATTATTATCTTCTTGCCCAGTTTGACAAAGGCCAGAGAATCACATGCCTATTCCCATCATTCACATTGGAAGACCTCCAAAGGGCTTCATTTTCATGGAAATAAGTCGAACATTCCTAAGGAGGCCCCAGTGGGTTTATTCACTTTGGCTTTTCACGAAATAGACCAAATTGAAAAATAAAACATATCATTGCTTTATTTCCCTCCTACACATATAGATCTTTTCTTTAAAATATATATATCTATACCTTACGTAGTGAATACAGAAGTACTATAAAAATTTGAAAGAAGGTTTTTGTTTTTTTAATCCCATACCCTCAAAACTCCTCTGTAGTTTTTTTTGGTGAATTTTTTCCACATTCATTCTTACACATCTGGTTTTTTACATGTCTGTGATGACTGCTTATTTATATCTCGCCTGCTCGGGTCCTCTAAGGATGTGACATGGCTCTCACCCTTGGCCCTTTCAACCCATTCTCCACAGAGCAGACAGAGTGCCCTTTCCAAAATACAAATCAGATCATGCTATAAATCCCACAAAGCTTCTCATTTCAAGCCGAATAAAATCCAAATTCTTCCCCATGGCCTATACAAAGCCCTACCTGAGTAGTCCCTGCTTACCCTAGGACTTTCTCTCTTCCTACTTCCTTGTTCACTCCACTCCAGTCACACTAACCTTCTTCCTGTCTGCCAGAAACACATTCATTGTTTTTCCTACTAAAATGTCAGCTCAGAGGCTTGGTATTTCTTTATTGTTTTAACCTTCTAGCCTACCACAGAGCCTGACCTGTGAAAGACACTGAAGAAACATTTGTGAAAGTAGCAGGAACTATTTCCTGAAGGCTCTCCAGGTTTGAACATAGGGCAATGGAACTTGTATTTCCCTTCTAGAGATCATTTTATAAGTCCATAAAACTCTTGTGCAAAGCAGTCCATTCAGACAGTGAAAGGATCTCTGACACAGGGAGAATGCCAAGGGCATGGGGTCAAGACCCCCAGGAACTAATCTGAGCTCTACTTCGATTAGCTACGTGACCTTTAGCAAGACTCTTAGCTTCTCTGTTCTTCAGTCTCCCCATGTATAAAATAAAGTCATTACATGTATTTCTAAGGTCCCTACCAGGGCTAATAATCCAGAACTCCCAATGTTCCAACCTTAAGGAGGCTATTTAGACATTTCCTAGTTCTTGGATCTATGGAAACACTTACTGTTGCAAATCCACACTCCACCTTGCTGATCTTTTCAATGGATTCCACAGCATCTCTTCCAAGTTCTAAGAGGGTGGGATCCCCTGTCGCACGGTAGAGGTACATGGCACTCTCGATGAGTTCTGCAAAATACAAAAGAGATTCTTTTTCATCCAGTGGCTGAGGAGGGAAGTGTCAGGGCGCACTAAGGGTAGTGAGAAACTCCTCCCCTCCATACCTTGTCCAAAGGCCCCAGCTCAGAGGAACACGGGACAACTCATTCAATGCTGAGTTTTCAGAGCCAACAAACCCAAAGGCTGAAGCTTAAGTAGAGACCAGCATTAAAACTGGCCATGGACTCCCATCCCCAGGGAGACAGGCAGGCAGGCTCTGGGATGGGGAAATGGTAGAGGATGCTGTTTTTCTCCCAGTATCTTTTCCCTCTTTCTTCCTTAGTAACAAAATCCCTAACTTAGTCAAGCACTTGGCTACCTAGACTAACAACTATTCCCAACAGCCAGGTGTAGGATTAAGGTCCCTGACACCATAGAGTGCCATAAGAGGCCAGAACATGAAAGAGTAATTAATCTGAAAATTAATTAAGCTGCCTTTTTTACCCTGTTACTCAGAGCTTAATTTAATCCTAAAACTTAAAAGAACATGAGCCTGGTATGGGGAATATAACCAAAATGAAAATGCACACATTGTGCAAAAATGAAAAATGATGTAAGAATTATATAAAATAAAATATTAATTAAAAAAAAAGGACATGAGCCTGTCATTCTGAGGCCATTTCTGACATAGATGACAAAGAAGTTAAGATATTCAAGGGCCAAGCTTCAATCTAACAAAGATGCAGCCATAGCTCACTGTGGACAAGATGGTGGTCTTGCCCTTTTCTACACAACTGGAATTTGATGTTCTGACATGGGCCCCATCTTAAGATGAATACTAGCCACAGGAGTTGGTTCAGATAAAAGTATTTATTCTGGAGGAAAGAAAGGCAGGAAAATGTGTTTAGTGCTTTCAGGTATCTGGAGGGCTGTTACAGAAAAAAGAGACTTGAGGTCTACAGAGAACAGCACCCCTCTCCCCCATAGGTGGAGCTACAGCTCACATTTTTCCACTTCTTCACCTGCCTTTTCTTAGAGAGGGAAGAAATTCTCTCCCCACCCCATACTGATGTCTCTTTCTGATCTCTCCTTCCTTGTTTCCTTCTGTTGCTCAGCACTTTCCTCTCTTTTGACTGATTACTGCAAACTCTATTTCTTTATTTTTTTCTTATTTTTGAAGAAAAGATCTTTGCCTGTCTCCCTAGTTCTCTCCTATGTCTCGCTCTCTTTACCCCATGGGCCTCTAGACAGTTGCCAATCGAGCTGCTCATGTTCTAAGACAATGACTGGGGCAGTCAGTAAGTGAACATACTGTTCAAAGAAAGAAAAGTGAGTGTACTCCTGGGCGGCCTGCCCTCCTGTCCTAAGCTGCTGCTGGATCAGTGTGCCCAGAGTCAGCCATCTCATGTTCTTTTCCTCACACATGGCCAAAGTATACCAGTAGTTGCTTTCATTTCCTGTATAACCGGCCAACTCTCTAGTAGAGGGTGCCAGCACAAGCTGAGCCCAGACTTTCAGGCCATCAAACTAGATTTTGTGCTCTGACACTGCTAATCTTATACATGTACCAGAGTGTAAGGTACAGGCCAATCTAATTACAGAACAGCACCTCATCTCTTATTTGCTATTCTTTTGGAAGGGTGACTGGATGAAGGCATTCCTGGATTCCTGGCAGTGGTGACTGACTTTCCACTGATGCCTTCCTGCAAGTTTGTCCTGCAAACCTAAGCAATTTCCTCTGTACCCAATGAGTGCCCTGTCAGTGGCGATAACTGAGCAAAAACTACATGACCACTTGACAGGTTTATTACAGGGAAATTTCAATTAGATGACCTCTCAGATCCCACCTAGCCCTGAGACTGCCCAAGCCTAAATCTTCATTTTATCTATTGTAGCACTGAATATACCTTCTAAGGGTTTCCTCGTAAGAAAAGGAAAAAAGGCATGAGAAACTCCAAGAACAGCAGCCTCTAAGGAGTCAAAAGTGACTAATTTGCTCTTTACAGTGGCTGCTGTTTCAGTCCCTCTTTGCTTCCCCTCCACAACTCCTATAAGAATCACTAGGGTTTCAGGAGGAAGGAAATGGGACATTGAGGGCAAAATGGGCAGAAGCTACCAGAAGACCTGCCCCACAGCTAAGTGGCAGGTGGGAGGTGGGAAGCACCTAAGACGACAATGGGACAGTAACCTATTTGGGGATGGGGGATGACTATGTGTGCTGACTAAGCTTCCTTCCTCCATTCCTTTTTCTCTTCCCCTCCTCACAATATTTAACTTTCCTGCAGTGAATCAGTGGATAAGAAGTAGAAAGAAATTTAAGAACATTATAGTGTATAGGCCCTTTCTTCTCTGCATTTTGGCTTCTGAGCTGCAATGGGAAGGTGGAAGAGACGACGTGATTCATCCCTGAAGTCCATTCCAAAGTTCTTACATTCCATGCCACAGAGGCATAATATATCTGACCTCCTAACCTAGGAAGCCCATCACACTTTTGAAATCCTAATGACAGGATCTCAAAAGGAGTCAACTTGGCGTCTTCCTTCTTACTCATTTGTCCAAGCTTGAACGAGCATACAATTTAGTTATGACATCTTGGGAAAGCCATTTTAATCCATTAGGCCTGTTTCCTTATCTGAAAATAGGGGAATAAATGATTCCTACAGGAAAACCATTCAGAGCCACTAAGAATCAGATGGGAAAAAATGGACTTGTGAGCACTTGGAAGGTGTGGAACCTCGTAGAAACACCCACATGCTAAGGGTGGGTGGAGTTAGAAGAACCAGAATCTGTAGGCTGGGCATGGGTCAGAGATGCTGCTTACCTGGCCGAAGTGGGTAGCCTTCTCGCTTCTCCACTGTGTAACCCTGAGGAATGTTGTAGAATTCCGGGAGTCCCCCAAACTGCTTCCAGACAGTATAGTAGTTAAGGAAGGTCCTCATGGCATTGTCAATGTCCCCAATGAGGCTCTGTAAGATAGAGGTTATTAGGAGGCTGCATCCAGGCATAATGACCCATGTATAAATCCATGCATATAACCCCAGGGGAAAAGAAAAAGCAAAGACTTTGGGGCCAAAAGGTGCACCATCAAATGCTGGATCTGCTATTAACTCACTGAGAGGCCCCAAGCCAGATACTTAACTTCTTTGAGCCTCATCTCTAAAATGCAAAAAACAACGTATCTCATACATTGTGGTGAGGGAGGCAGTTGTATACAAAGTCCCTGGCTCCCCTGGTGCCTCTACATGTTCAACCAATGCTGGCTACTAAGATATTTTAAATAAGTCAGTCAGTCTTCTCATTCAAAATTCTGAGAACAGAAAAAAGGAGAGTTGTACTCTTACTCCCACTCTATATCTCAGCAGATAACCATTTTTTACTCTTCCGTAAACATAGCAAATGTGTATTCATATACACTATTTCCCCCATTTTGAACAAAGCTAATCAAATATAACATTCTACAGTTTCCTTCTTGCTTAAATTTTTTATTGAAGTATCATTGGTTTATATAGATGTTAGTATTTTAGAAGTACAGGATCCCCGCCCCCTCCGCTTTAAGTATAGTTATCCTAGCGTGACCCCATCAACACAGCACCCGGAGTGCACTACCACAATCCACGGTGCTCTCTCCCCATTTTCCAGTTTCCTTTTTTCAATTAACAATATGGCTTGATTTTTCCATATAAGTACTTAAAGAGATTCACTACCCTCAGTTATATAGTTACATAGCATTCCACTGCTTGGAACACAATTAGTTCCCTATTAATAGCTAGTTGGCTTGGTTCCATTTTTCTGTATTTATATAACAGTCACCACTGCAATAACCTTATACAAATGTCACTTCAAACACACAAAAGTGTATCTGTGAGATAAATTTCCAGAATTAAGACTTCTGGGACTGAGGATATATGCCTTTGTGATTTTACTAACTGTTGCTAAGCAGCTAGTAATATTAATGTAAGCTCAAAGGGAAACAATTGACCTTCTTGACATCTTCGGTTGGCTGTCTCATGGACAGAACAAACTTAACATTTCCCAAACAAAATTCTTGGTTCCCTCACTGTCCCACTTTCCTACTCTCGTGTCTCTTTCTTCCTAGTAAATGGCGCCTCCACCCACCCAGTTACTCTGTCCGGAAACCTGGTTATCATTCTTTACTCCCCCTTCTCCTCTTTCCCACATCCATTCCATCAGCAACTTCTGTCAATTCCCTCTCTAAACCAGCAAGAATTTTCTCTCTTTATTTCCAGAGTCGGTGCCTAGTCCGGTCACCAGCATCTCATACTGGGATGACCTCAAAGGCCTTCTCACTGGTCCACCAATTGTCTTCTTGCCACTCTCCTGTCCACTATCCACAAAGCAGCCATAGAAATCACTTTACTTCATGACCAGACCTCAGGGCTTTCCTTGGGCTCAGTATAAAGTCAGGACACCTCACTGTGGCCCTCAACGTCTGGTCAGAGCTGACCTTCCATCAAATGATCTTTCCCTTCCCTGGACTGTGGTCATTTTCTTTTTTTAATTTTAAAAAGCTTTCTTGGGATATAATTTATATACCACAATATTCACCATTTGTAAGTGCAAAATTCAGTGGGTTTTAGTACGTTCAGTTACACAACCATTACCACTATTGAATTCCAAATATTTTCATCACTCTCCCAAATAAACTTGTACCCATTAGTAGTTACTCTCCATCTCCGGCTTCCCCCAGCTTCTGTCCATATCAATCTGTTTTTTTGTTGTTGTTTTTACGGATTTGTCTATCCTGGACGTTTCACTTAAGTGGAATAACAGAGTATGTGGTCTTTTGTGACTATGTTCTTTTACTTGAAATATTTTCAAGTTAATTTATGTTTTATCATGAATTGCTACTTCATCCCTGTTTATTGCCAAGTAAGATCCCATCATATAGATATAACATATTTTGTTTCTCCATTCATCAGTTGATGGACATTTGTCCTATTTCCATTTTCAACTATTATGAATAATATTGCTATGAACAAGTACAAGTTTGTGTGTGGATAAATGTTTCATAGATATACACCTAAGGGTGGGATTGTTAGGTCATATGGTAACTTTATGTTGAACTTTTTAAGTAACTGCTAAACTGTTTTCCAAAGAAACTGTACCATTTTACAGTCCCAGCAGCAATGAAGAGGATTCCAGTTTCAGTTTATCTAGTAGTTGTCACTGCCTATCTTTTTTATTGTAACTGTCCTAGTATGTATGTCTTATTATCATTTTGACTTTTATTTCCTTAGTGACTAATGATGTTGAACACATTTTCATGTGTTTACTAAAATTTGTATATCTTCTTTGAAGAAATATGCATTCAAATCCTTTGCCCATTTTTAAATTGTGTTATTTGCATTTTCACTGTTGAGTTCTAAGTGTTCTTTATATATTCCGGATACTAGATATCCTTGTATATATGATTTTTGTTTGTTTGTTAAATTTTTTATTGAAGTACTGTTGGTTCACATCATTGTTAGTATTCTGGAATTATAGAATCCCCCCTTTAGTATAGTTACCCTAGCATACCATTCTGCAGATTGTCTTTTTACTTCTTCATAGTGTCCTTTGAGGAGTTAGCAGAGTGGTGCAGTGGAACCATGATGGGCCCAGAGTGTACTTTGAAGCACAAATGTTTTCAATTTTCATGAAGTGCAATTTGTGGTATGATAATCCAGTCCATGAAAATAAAACCATTGTTTTTTGCTTCTCCATTATGGGGCACTTTGATCATTTTTTTCTTTGTCATAAATTTTGCTGCTAGGAATATCTGCATCATTTTCTCTTGCATTATTTTGTTGGAAAATGTGCACAGAAATGGAATCATGCAAAGTTAAAAGGTACGATCGGTTAAATGGTTGGGTTGAACAAGAAATTTTCCAAGAGGAATGTAGTCACAAATAGTCTTAAAGAAATACATTTCCAGTTCCTCAACTTTCCTAACATGACTCTGCCTTGGAACACAAAGGCCGGCTATCCAGTCTCACTGTCTCTTTCACAACTGTCCTCTCATTTTACAAAAAACAAGCTGTACATACCACCAATTTCTAAACTTACTGTGGGTATAAAAAACTTCCTGAGCACCAAGCTCAGTTAAATTTAAAATACTAGTGTAGGCATTAAGAAAAATGAATGACTCTAAGCATTCAATAACAATTTTTTTTGACTATCAGGTAGTTTCCAATTCTCTGCTTTCAAAAAAATGGAAAGAAGAACTGGTCAAGTTGTTAACAGCAAGGGCATAAAAATAATTTTTGATGACAGATCATATGATTAATTTTCTACAAAGAATGAACCATACAGTACTGAACGAACCATATATTACCCATGTTTATAGGTCAAAAATGGTTGAATGCTGGCAGTTCTACATGGTTCAATATATTAACTCAAAGATTCAAAGAACTAAATGATATTGCAATGCTCAAACTCCTTCCATCTCCAGCTCCTTATTTATGTGCCTATCTATCTATCTATCCATCCATCCATCCATCCATCCATCCATCCATCTATCTATCTCCCCCTTTAGCCATATATATGTGTGTGTGTATATAGATAGATAGATAGATGTGTGTGTGTGTGTGTGTGTGTAGTCCTGGAAAGCTATACAGAAGACTAATCTGGGGGCTGGACTGGGGAAAGAGGTTGAGGATGGGGGCTCATCACTTACTTTTCACTGTATTGCTTTTCATACTTTGTAAGTTTACCACCATCCACATGTTATTATCTTTTCTTAAAATTAAAAAAAAATAGTTTATAAGAGTATTTTGGTATACCTCAGGGGTAGATTAGATGGGGTCTAAAATCCCTTTCAGCTACAACTCTATTAGACAGTGTAATGGGGGGAAAAAATGATGGCAGGCAGAGCAGCCCCAGCTTTCACCCTCTTTTCTCAGATCCACTGTCAAGAATGAGAAGATTTGACAAAAATGCCCAGTAAATAGTTGTTGCCAAAGACACTGTCTGCTGTATTTTAAGCAGTACAACATTCCAGAGCAGTTCAGTTCCTGACACCATAAAACCCCCCTTGGAAAATTTGTCTGGCAGAATCTTAAATCATCTGATTCATTCTAAATCTCTCTTTCAGGGCCTCCCCGGTGGCACAGCGGTTGAGCGCTGGGTTGCGAAGCTGCCCGAAGTCTCTGCAGTGCCAGTTTGATCCCCAGCTGCTCCCCTGCCACCGGAGGAGGGTCCCACATGGCACGCAGACCTCTCCTGCCGCCCGCTGCTCCCTTAGCAGTGTCCTTTGGTCCTTCTGCCTGTTCTGCTCCCCGCTCTGGCTCTGGTGAATTCTCTCACCCTCCCGTGCTTCTGACTGTATCCAGTGCTTGTATAAAATAAATAAATAAATCTTTAAAAAAAAAAAATTTAAATTTTTTTTTTTTCATAAACTAACTAAATAAATAAATCTCTCTTTCATCCCTAACCAACCTCTGCAAAACAAGAACTCAAGCAGATAATATATTTTATGTGGCTTATACTTAAGCAATTTGACTTATGCTTGACCAAAAGCAGAAAGTGCTTTCTTTGCTATTTCCATAGAAGAAAGGATCATTCCTACCTGAAGACCAGGCCAGTAGGCCTCCAAGGACTGGAAGACAGGCATGGACACAGTCCCCTTATACATTTGTACCCACAGGTACCAATCATCAAAGCGGGTGTAATTCCGAATGGCTTTGTTATATTCTGCAATGGAGATGGGATGATGGACACATCAGTGATTAGAGAGACAAAAAGCACACCTTAACAACAGAAGCATGGGCTTACACTTTTCAAAAATCATAATGGTCTAACTTCAAAGCAGAATGGGATTAAATGAGGCATGGAGGAAAGAGCATGGGTTCTGCAGTCAAATTTCCAGGCTCAAATTTCAGCTCCAGCTTTACCACTTGCTAGCTGTGACCTTGGGCAAGTTTTTCCTCTCTTAAGCCTCAGTCTTATTATCTGTAAAGTGGGGAGAGTAATGTTATATACCTCATGGAATTGTCCAGTCATTTAGTCACTCAACGATTTTGGATATTCACCTACTAGGGGCCAGGAAGCCTGGGACAGGACAGAAGTCAAGTTCTCAGAGTTTACATTCTAGTGAGAACTTGAACTTATACCTTGTTCTCTACCCTCTAGATAATAAATCCACAAGAGCCAGGACTTTGTTTTGCTCATTGCAGAATCCCTAGCATTAGGATAGTTCTTAACAAATATGCACAATAAATATTATCTGAATAAATAAAGTACCAAATACACATCAAAAATGTCAAGTGCTGTGCCAAGCACTGAACATGAATTATTTCATTTCTTTCTTACAGCACTATTTGAGATCACCCTTAATATTACTACTGCTAGTGTCTAAAGGACTGGAGGTAAAATGTTTTTATTCAATAGACATTCATCTACAACCTACCTCATGCAAAGCATCATGGGAAATATAATGCCAAGGCATGGATGCTGCTGTCAATTATTTTACTATCCCTATGGGTGATGGTTAACTGCAAGTAAGGTGCTGAAGGCCTACATTCTCAGAAAGGAGCTACTTACTTCCCAGGCAAGATGACATTTAAGTTGGGCCTTGAAGGGTGAATAGAATTTGGACACATGAAAACAGAAAGGGGAAAAAAAAGGCATTCCAGGCAAAGGAAACACCATGAGCCACGGCCAGGAGATAAGAAACCCAGGAAATTCAGTGTGCCACATGAACAGAGAGTGCAAGATGGCTCTTGCAAGATGGCATGAAGTGCAGTAAGTATCAATTGGGAATGTAGGTCCTTGGTAGCTTTGAATGCAGATTCATATAGTTAATTAGGAGAGGGAAGTTCTGGTGTCAAATGTATTTGGGAAATGTTGAGTTAAGCAAAGTTTAATAGAATTTATTTACCAGAGGATTTCACAACCTTTAGCCTGTTCATGTTCATTATGACTCTGTAGGTATTTGGAAACAACTGAAAGTTTATCAAAAAACAACATGTCAATAGGAAAAATCATGGGAAGGCCCCCTTACCCTGCCCTTTTTTTTACCTAGAAACATGGCCATGAGCTTCTTATCCTGAAGTAGGATGGCTCCTTTCACCAGGTACTCAAAGTAGGAGTCCACACCAGCCCCGATGCCTGCATCCTGGGCCACCCATTTGCCAGTGAGCACGTCAATGTGGTTGCCGACCTGGGAGAGATACACATGGTCCCAAGGAAGGGCCCAAGACCAGACAGGGATCTTCCCACCCCTCAGTGCCTCATGAGATGCAAGACAGGCATCCCCAATACTTCTTGGGGCTATCTAGACACAGGGTTGGGGGGCAAGACAGGATCAATGCCAGCTCTCCTGCATATCTGAACACTGGGAATGCATTTGTGCATGTTTATAAGGACTTAATTATACAAACTGGGCGAAAATACAAAAGAACAATGCCTTGAGGTACTTATGCCCTGCCTAAAGAGAGTGTGAACTACAAGATGAAAACCTGTTGCTCCCACAATTTGTCTGAGATTTCTCAGCACTGTGCATGTGGTTCCAGGGTTTAAAAGATCCAAGACACACTTTATGTATTTCCAAAATTAACTTAGGAAGGATACCCTAGAAACTGATAAAGAGGTTGCTTCTAAAGAGAGGAACTGGTGTGGGGGGGGGCCTCCCTGGTGGCGCAAGGAGTTAAGCACAGCACTGTGAAGCTATCCACAGCCTCTGCAGTTCAATCCCTGGCTGGCACAGCAGACCTCTCCTATCTTGCCTGCTGCTCCCCTAAGCAGTGTATTTCAGTCAGTCTGCCTGTTCTGTTCCCAACGCTGTCTCTGGTGAATCCTCTCACCCCCCACCCCCCGCACCTCTGGCCTGTACCCCAGTTCTTGTCTGCATAAAGAAATGAATCTTTAAAAAAATAAGAACTGGGTTACTGGGGGGTCAGGGATCACTAATGTCACTGCATACCTTTTGTATTCTTTGACTTATGAATGATGTGTCTATAAAAGACTTTTATAAATACATTTTAAAAGATTTGAATGAAGAGATGTTTTTTATTTAACTTAGACCCTTATGGAAGCTAATGACTTCAGCTGGTACTCAAAGAAACAACTAACTGTTCTGTTATGAGCTTGGGTTCCCGCAGGAACAGACCCTCAGACAAGTAAGGATTATATGCAGTTAATCTGGAAGGTGGGTCTGGAAACTCCAGGCTAGGAGGGGCAAAGGGAGGCAGTCCATAAACATTTCACTTTTCAAGCTGACTTTAAACCAAATTGTGCATAAAATGTGCCTCACCCAAATCACTTTCAGACAACATAGTCTCTATAAGTCATGATGACTTAACAAGGAGGTATTAATACATCAGTGTCACTGCTGAAGTAACTGAGATCAGAGAAGCTGAGTAACTTGCCCAGGGTCACAGTTTCAATGCAGCAAGGTGAGAACTCAAACCCAGTTCTGACTAAATCTAGTGCTATTTCCTGTACAGCTTTGGCTCAATTCCTGTTAATTTCACTGAATCATCCAGTTTAGGAGTTGAAACCAAGCCTAGAGATCACCTAGTCCAAAGTGTGCTAAATTTCCACAGGTTAATTAGGTATCAGAGAGGAGAGGGACGTTCTGGGGCCAAACATATTTGGGAAATGTTGAGTTAAGCAAATGTAAATAGATTTATTTACTAGAGAATTTCATAACCTTTAGCCTGTTCATGTTAATTATGATTCTTTAAAAAAACAGTATACTGTATGTAGTATTTTTCAAATAATTTATCAGAAATCATTATTTTATGATAATCATTCAACATCTCTCAGAACTAGTTACTCTAAGAAACATGTTTCAGAAACACAGATAGTAAAAACGAAGGCCAGTTGGACTCATGACATAAAGTCACTGGGTGAGTCAGGGGCATAAGGTATATGACCACTCACTAGAAATCAGAGACGCTCAAGGACTCAAAGCATAACACAGGCCCTTTTCTTTGCCAGAGAATGTACCTGTATCCTCTCTTCTTCTGTGTCAAACTCAAATTGGAGGCTAGGTCTACTATCCTGAGTCTAAGTCCTGGGTCACTCCTGAGGTTACCCTAAGTTTCCCTTGGCTGAACTGCAACTTATTGCTCAGAGCCCAGAGATTCATAAGCGGGGCCAAGGAGGCTGACTTGACTCAGACAGGAAGGGTGGCAGCAGACCTACCAGCCCAATATCTGACCGGCTCTCCCAAAGGCGCATCAGGGCCACTCTGGCCACATCTTCAAACACAGGGTCACCAGTGAGGCTGCTCAGGGTGGCAAATTCCACGATGAACGTCCCAATCCCTGCTGTACAGGTGACGGGGGTCTCTCCTGGGTTCACACCATGAAGCAGGTTCACCGTTCCATATGGCATGCCAGTAGGCGTCTGAAAGGCTGAACAATTATAAAATTATAACCCCAGACAGAGCAGGGTGATAGGGATAGATGGATACAGGCCCAAAGCCTAAGGCCTTTTTATCTCCTGGGTGATCTGCTAGAGACTGAGCCAGAGCAGGATAAATGTCACATCTGGAAGGCCCTCAGTGACCACCTAACCTAGTTGCTGTCAAACACTGCTCTACTTAGCCCTCAGACTCTTCTTGTCTGTGATAAGGAGGAAAGCACTCTAAGTTATCACAATCCACACACACTCACTTTAGCTAGAACAGCTCTGCTTTTATTTATTTTGCACTCTGCATTCAGAGGCCAGGCAAATAACTTAAGTCTGAAGCAGGTGGGTTTAAGCTAAGGGGAATGATTGAGCTTGTGGCACACTGAAGAGCATGCCTCTTTAGAAGCCATTCATTTACTTTCTCAAACACCATTTTGACCAAATGAAAAATATCTGCAGACCCTACACAGTCCCAGAGGAGCCAGTTTGAGATCCCTGCTTTAAATAAAAGTTTAGAATGGGAGAAGATATTTTCAGACAAAAGGTTAATATCCGAAATATATAAACAACTTGTACTACTCAAAAACAAAAACAGGGCCTCCCCTGGTGGCACAGGCAGTTAAGGGCCGCGCTGTGAAGCTGTCCACAGCCTCTGCAGCACCAGTTCGATCCTGGCCGGCCAGTGAGGGTCCCATATGGTGCTGCATACTCTCCTGTCATGCCCGCTGCTTCCCTCAGCAGTGTACTTCGTCAGTCTGCCTGTTCTGTTCCCCACTCTGTCTCTGGTGAATCCTCTCACCCTCCCCCGCATCTGGCCTGTACCCAGATGTATAAATAAGTAAATAAATAAATCTTTAAAAAAACAAAAACAAAAACAAAAAACCATACAACCTGATAGGCAGAGGATTTAAACAGACATTTTACTAAAGAAGACTTACAAACGACCAATAGACATGAAAAAATGTTCTATATCACTAATCATTAAGGAAAAGCAAGTCAAAACCACAATGCAATTTTACCTCACACAGGTTAGAATGGCTGTTACCAAAAAAGGCAAGAAATAATAAATGATGGTGAGGGTGTGGGAAAAAAGGAAACCTCATGCACTATTGGTGAGAATGTAAACTGGCACAGCCACTTTAGAAAACAATGTGGAAGTTTCTCAAAATATTAGAACTAGAACTACCATAAGACTCAGTTGCCCCACTTCTGGGTATTTACCTGAAGAATATGACAACTAACTCAAAAAAACCATACGCACCTCTATGTTCACTGCTGCTCTATTCACAATAACCAAGTTATAGAAAGAATCTAAGTATGGGCCTCCCTGGAGGCACAGGGGTTAAGCACTGTACTATGAAGCTATCCGCAGCCTCTGCAGCACGAGTTCAATCCCCGGCCAGCCAGAGAGCAACCCACATGGCAAGGCAGACCTCTCCTGTCTCGCCTGCTGCTCCCCTCAGCAGTATATTTCAGTCAGTCTGCCTGTTCTGTTCCCCACTCTGTCTCTGGTGAATCTCTTACCTCCTGCATCTCTAGCCTGTACCCCAGCTCTTGTATGCATAAATAAATAAGTCTTAAAAAAAAAAAGACTCTAAGTGTCCAGTGACAGATGACCACATAAAGATGTCAGATAAATACATCTCTCTCTCTCTCTCTTTCCCTCTCTCTCTCTCTCTCTCTCTCACACACACACACACACAAAAACATCAATGGAATATTACTCAACCATTAAAAAAGACGAAATCTTTCCATTTGTGACATGGATGGACCTTGAGGGGATTATGCTAAGTGAAATAAATCAACAGAAGAAAGACAAATACTATATGATTTCACTCATTTATGGAACATAAAGAAAACAGAAACAAGACCTTAGAATTTGATGACATAATGGCAGTTACCTTAGGGGAAAGTGGGGGTAAGGAGGGGGTAGAAAGGGTAATTGGTTTGTGGTGGACTGTGAATGGACATTTGGTGGCAGGCATGGTGAAAAAATGTAATCTTGGAACCTATACAACATTGTAAATTGTTACCTCAATAAAAATAAAAATAAATAAAGCATTTAGGAGCTAAATTATTATTTTTTTAATGACAAAAAAAAAACCCACTAAACTAGTAATTTGGTCAAATTTACGGACAGGAAAAGTCACATACAGAAAGCCAAACAGAACTGGGGTGGAAATGACTCCCACTCCCAGTGGGTGGGAAATCACACCCACTCCTTTACCCCCTGAGTTCAGTCCCTGCCCACCCCAGGACCTTCCAATTCAAGGCAAGGAACTAAATACTCATCCAGAAGCAGAGGCTTCCTCTCCAGGCCAAAGGGTCAAACAATCCCAGAGCAGCCTGTGCGTCACCAAACCGTGAACAAAGTTGTCAAAAACTTCCAAGAATGACAAAGCCCAGTAACTTTGCTGCAGATGACAAGCCTGCTGCATGGCAAGCATGAGTGGAGCAGCAAGGAGAATGCAAATCACAGCCAAGAAGGGCTCAAAGTCAGGCAGCGTTAAAGAGAGGATGACTGAGATGTTTCCTGACCTGGATGGAAGATACACTGGCATCTTTCAATGTGTTTCCTTCAAACAAAATTTTCTTAAACGAGGAACAAAAAAAGGGGGTGGGGGTGGAGGCAGATTTTCCTCTACAGGAACCACACAAGACACAATGTTTAGAAAGAGACACTCAGGCCATGAACCGTGAGCCAGGAGCAAGACCTGAACCCAGTTTGCAGGCTCCTCAGCTCTTCCCCAAAGATGAAAGTGAGAAGCAAGAAGACGGGAAACTGGTGAAAAGCAAACCGTGACGTGTTTGGGTGTGAACAGCCCTCAGAGTCTCAACCACACCCTGAAGAGAACACAGTGTCCAGCTGATGTTGCTGAGACAAGGGTTACTGCCCCAGCAGACAAACATACAAACACAGGGGGTTGGTCTGCAGCCCTGAACACAGCTTTCTCCTTTCTGAGTTCATTAACTTCCCAAAAACCCAATGTGGCAGAAAGGCAGGCATTATGATTCCCATCTGATAGACAAGGAATCTGAACAGAGATTTGGTTAAGGCATTGGTTGGCACAACTAAGTCTAGAACCTGGGACTCCTCATCCTCTTCTCTGGAAGCCTTTCATTCCATCATGTGACCCTAGAAATGTGTGGGGCTCACACAGAATAAGGCTAAGGACCTTCTACCCACTCTCCCCTGCAAAAAGTAATGGATTCAGCTCATCCATCCAGGGCCAGGGTCCCAACGAGGCCTCAAAATGCACAGAACTCTCCTGATTTCTTTTGTAGAGGTAAAAAAGCCAAGCATTTGGGTAAAAACAACAGGAAATAATTCAGCATTGACACAGTCATCTCCAGCAAGAGAAGCGGGGCTGCTGAAATTCAGCTCTCCCCCATCTCAATATGGTTCTTACCTGGGAGGAGTTTCCGGGCTGCCTCTTCAGCCATCCTCAGGAGAGGTCCAGAGCAGGGCCATCCAGCTTCCACCTCCACCCCAGCCTTCTTTGACAGCAGGTGAGCAGAGAGAAGTCCTCCTACCACTGCAGATGGTACAAAAGGCAAAAGTAAGAGCACCAAGGATCAGTCTTTCCCATGTGCAAATGAAACCCAAATGCTGCTGGGTGGCTTACTGGGAAGGGGCTATAGCCAGTGAGTGAAAGAAGAGCCCCTTAATCCCACATAATGGTACAGTGTGAAACTTACAAAGCTTTTTTTTCTCTCAGTGAGTCACAAAAGCAATGGCTGTTTTTTTAAAGGCCCTACTATGTACCAAGCACTAAGTTCTACTGTCCCCTCCTCAAATGAAGATTCTGAGGTTCAGATACATGAAGTGACATGCCCTGGGTGATGCACCCAGCAGGTGGTAGGGACAGGTCTGTCTGACTTCAAAGCCCATACTTATCCCTCTTGGTCACTGTGTCTGTCTCCTAATCCCCCCACAATCATGTGGGCAGGAAGAGTAGCTATTGCCTTCATTATGTTAATTTACCTTTTTCAATATATTACATAATATTGAAGATTCATAAAAAGATACAAGTTCAGTATCTGGAAATATGACTAAATGGATATCCTGAATAACCCTCTTATTGAAAACAACTGGTGACCCTGAGCTTCAGTTTTCCCTTCCTCCTGTCAGAGGGAACATAGGAGACAAGGGTAGGACCTCCCCCAAATGGGAAGTCTAATAAAAGGTCTCTCTATCAAGTTAAGATCTAAAATAAATATATACTCTAAGAATTAATTAAGTAAGCTCTCCACACCTCTCCCAATGAAAAGTAAAGAAAACTGCATGCTAAGTAAAGGAAAGAAAAAAAAGAATCTCCCCCAAGAATAAGTTACTACAAGTTGGTTCTCACTGAGTTATACTGTCTGAATTCACACTAACTAGGTAGTCTGGAAAACCTCGAACCTTTAGCAAAACTGGCTTTGAGGAGATAGGGAAGAGGCAGAGGTCAGCAAAATTCTATTTGGAAGCCACCTCAACCCAACCTTCAAAGAATCTCACAGATAAAATATTGAGGATGGGGCCTCCCCAGTGGTGCAGCAGTTGAGCGCTGGGTTGCGAAGCTGCCTGCAGCCTCTGCAGCACCGGTTCAATCCCTGGCCACTGGGCGAGGGTTCCACATGGCGCGCAGACCTCTCCTGCCGCCCGCTGCTCCCCTCAGCAGTGTATTTTGTCAGTTTGCCTGTTCTGCTCCCTGCTCTGGCTCTGGTAAATTCTCTCACCCTCCCGTGCTTCTGACTGTACCCAGTGCTTGTATGAATAAATAAATAAAACTTTAAAAAAAAAAATCTAGAGGATGAGTATACATTTAAAAATAAATCACAAACAATACAAAGAAACAAAGCATTATGAGTAAGAGCCAGCAGAAGCAACAGTAAAGCAGATTTATCAACAGTTCGATTTTAGAATTATCACAGAACACAAAATAATTACATGCACTATATTTAAAGAAATAAGAGGTTGAATTATGAGAGTAACCAGACGAAGAACTATAAAAATGACCAAGTATATTTACAAAAAAACCAAACGGGAATTTCTACAGTGAAAAACACAACAATTGAAATTTAAAATTACATGGGTAGGTTTAACAGCAGGTAAGAAATACCCGAAGAGAGAATTTCTTTAAAAGATTTATTTTTTATTTATTTATGCATAGAAGAACTGGGGTGTAGGCCAGAGGTATTCCAGGATGAGAGGATTCACCAAAGACAGAGTGGGGAGCAGAAAAGGCAGATCAACTGAAATACACTGCTGAGGGGAACAGCGGGCAAGACAGGAGAGGTCTGCTGCACCATGTGGATTGCTCCCTGGAAAGGGATGGATCTTATGTTGCAGTGGCTGGTGATAGCTTGATAGTGCTGAAACTTAACCCCTGCGCCACCAGGGAGGCCCCTGAAGAGAGAATTAATGGACTTAAAGAGAGACCACCCCCTCTCCCAAAAAAAAAATATCAAAAACATAAGGAAACAAAGTGATTTTTTTTTTAATACAAAAGGGACTTGGAGGATACAATAGAAGGTATAATTATATCTGGTAGGATCTCTAAAAAGAGAAGAGGGAAAAAATAGGGAGAAGCAAAATCTGAAGAGAAAACAGAATTTTCTAAACTAATGAATGACACTAATTCTTAAATTCAAGAATCCCAAGCAGGACAATAAAAAGAAATCCACACTTATATACTTATATCACAAATTATAGAACACCAAACAAAAGAAAAGATCTCAAATGCAAAAGCATAAAAATAACAAATGTAAAAACTGGTTGATGGGTGTGTCTCTTTCATTATATTGTTTTCTCTATTTTTATGCATTTTTTAATATATCATAATAATTTTTTTAAAGGAGGGGGCAGCCAGAGTGAGAAATAGTCTGACAAAGTACTTCTTAACAATGACAATAAAACCAGAAAACAAAGGGAAATTTTCTTCAATATGTTAAGACAAAAAACTATCCACCTAGAACCACATGACAGGATAAATATCCCTCAAAGATCAAACAAAGGCAGTGAGATAAAAACATTTTCCTCCAAACAAAAACCGAGAAAGTGCCAAACACACACCTGTATTCAGGGACATTCTAAAAGGAGTCCTGCAGGCAGAAGGGAAGGGACTGCAGGGAGGCGGGCAGAGACATGAGAAGGAAAGATGATGAAAAAAGTGGTAAGTGGGGGCCTCCCCTGTGGCACAGAGGGTTGAGCACAGTACTGTGAAGCTGTCCACAGCCTCTGCTGCGCCAGTTTGATTCCCAGCCGGCCAGGGAGCTATCCACATGGAGAGGATAGCTTGTCTCACCCGCTGCTCCCCTTGTCTCACCCGCTGCTCCCCTCAGCAGTGTACTTCTGTCCTTCTGCCTGTTCTGCTCCCTGCTCTGTCTCTGGTGAATTCTCTCACCCTCCCGCACCTCTGGTCTGTACCCCAGTGCTTGTGTAAATAAATAAAAAATCTTAAAAAAAAAAAAAAAAAGTGGTAAGTATATGAATAGAACTCAAACTTCAACTGTATAGAACAATAATATTTAGAAGGTTTAAACAAAGAACTAAAACATTTAACTGTAGCATAGAGACATGATGTCCTCAGACCCAGGTTTTGTATTATTCAGGAGAAGAATAAAGATTTTCATTAACTTTAGACTTGTTAAATTTTCCATGAAGACTATTTTAAAAGTCAGATGCTATACATAGTTCCTAAGTTAGTGAAAGGAAAATGGGATAAGAAAAAAATAATAATGTAAAGAAGGCATGAAAAAAGAGAGAAGATGGAACAAAAGGTACAAAATTATACAACTGAAATGAATGCAAATATATCAGTAATTATAGTGAATGTAAATGGGGAAAATATTTCTGTGAAAAGACAGAATGGATAAACAATGAAAATATTGTATGTAATTTGCAAAAGAAAGACCTAATTAAAAAAATACAGGAAGGCTGAAAGTAAGTAAAAGGATAGGAAAAGATACACTGGGCAAATATCAAGTAAAAGAAAGCTGGTATAATAACATTCAAATCAGAAGTGAATATGCAAGGACAACCAAATTGGGCTCAGAAATTGTGACATGGCAATAAGCAAATCCTCAAACTCAGTCTGATTCCAAAATTAGGATTTTTATAACCAGCTCTCCCCTGTTCCCTCCTCTTCTTAAAATCTTCATTTATCATAAACCTGTAATACAAGTTTGATTGCAGAAAGCATACAAGATAAAGACAAGCAAAATAAAAAAGAAAACATAACTCTGCTATCCAGAGTTGACAGTAGTTAAGCTATGGGTGGTCTACAGGGTCTCTGCATGTTATAAAATTTGTGGAAACCTGCTAAAAATACTGATCCTAAGCTTCAACTCCGACACCCCAATTCATTGGTTTAGAGCGGAGCCCAGACTCTGGAACTTTTTTTATATTTATTTTCTTATAAAATTGTTAATTTTTGGACAGTATTTAATTTTTCCCCGCAGGCGTAGTCCCCGTAATTTTCCCACCATCACAGCATCTGTGAGCCATCACCACAGTCCCTTGTGCTCTTCCCTCCCCTGTTCTGACCCCACTCCCTCCTCCTCCCGACGTTTGAACTTTATTAAAGAAGAAATTATGCTCAGTGAAATAAGCCAGAAGGAAAAAGAAAAATATCGGATGGTTTCACTTATAATAGGAATATAGGGGAACCAAGAAAGACATCAGTGTAAAAAAAATAACAGTACAAAACACAACAAAGCAAAAACAGACAATTACAAATCAGACACATTCTACAGGGGAAGAGTAGGGAGAGGGATCAGAGGGAGAAAGGGAAGAGAACAGGAGACTGTGGTGATGGTGCACTGGTGCCTTGGGGAAGGAAATTTTATGGGGACTCAACCTGAGGGGGTGGGGGGAAAAATATTGTCTAAAAAAAAATAATAAAAAATAATAATAAAAAAAAAAGGTGCCAAGTGGTTCTGATGGGCAGCCAGGTTTGGAAACTAATTCCCCAGACTTGCACTGTGTAATATAATAATTATTAACCACACGCCACTATTTAATTCATTAAATTTAAGTGAAATTAAAATTTCAGCCCTTCAATTGCAGTGGATAGATTTCAATTGTTCAGGAGCCAGTCACACATATGGCTACTGGCTACTATGTCAGACAACACAGATAGAAAACATTTACATCATAGCAGAAAATTCTACTGAACTTTCAGGAAGTTCTATTGTCAGAGGTCTCCTAACCAACAAGTTCCCTATTACATTTTTTGTTCATAGTTGTATGCCTAGCATCAAATATATGTTAAATACATGAGTAACTCCAGCTTATTTCTTTCAGTCTTTTCTCAGTCTCTTGCTCACTCTCATGTCCGAAAATGATGAGGGATCTCAAGACCTTCCCATCCCCTACCTTACAGGAGGGAAGAAGAACTCTGAGGCACTGATTTTGGCCAAGTGTCCTGGCAGGGTTTGTCCTTAATATCCTGTTTACCACCTCTTGGTTGACACAGAGACAAAACCTCCATGCTTCTTTTTTTTCCTTCCAGAAGTCCTAGAAGGCAGCCCTCACCTCGGATGTTGGTTTCAAACACAGAGGCATTCACATCAATGTCAAAGTCCACGTTGTCCTGGAGCACTTCAACCACTCTTTGGAATTCAGTAACATTCCCCAAAATCTGAAAGGAAAGTAAGACATGCCAGTAAGGATCTCTCAGGCCCTGAAGGTGCTGGATTCAGAGTCTGGGCTCCTATGTTGGGGTGCCCCTCCCTCATTCAACGTAAGAACTGCAGTTTCTGCCCTACAATTGGTGACAGGAGGAAAAAACACTGAGAGCTAATATCAAGAAATTGGTTGAGTAAATTCTTAGATACTATTTCAAGAAATAGAGCATTGTGTACCCACTCAAAAAGAAACTATAAAGACCAAAGACCACATAAGAAAATCTTTGCATGACGTTTGCAGTACACATCTATTGAGTTGAACCTTCTCTGGTCACATTCTTCCTTGTGGAAAACACAGCAGCTTGGTTGGCCAAACACGAATTCCTGATAATCTCAGCCTTCAGGGTCCTCTATGATTGGACTCAACCTACCTTTCTGACCATGTCTCTCACTGTTCATCTAACCTATTCTCATCCATTTTAGCAAAACATACACACCATTCCAATTTCCTGCCTTTGGACATGCTGTCTTCTAGAGATCTGTTTTCCCATCTCCAAATTCAACTTATCGTCAACTGTTACCTTCTCTAAGAATCTGTGAGTCTTCCAGCTGAAATTAACTTCTTCCTTTAAAATACTCCATAACTTTATCCACACATCTCTTAAAACATCTTTTCTTTCTATGTGAAGAGAATCTTTCCCTGGACAGGAGCCTCACCCATTCCTGCAGAATGCCAAGCACAGTCCATGAAGCAACTACTTATTGTTATTTGATGATTATAGTAATCCTTCTCCACATTGCAGCCAGTGATCTTAAAACAGAAATCTTGTCATCTTTTGCCCTTTATTTATGAAATTTCAGTGATTTTTTTCCCATTGTTCTCAAATTTCAGATCACTATCCCTAACACAGTGAACAAGGGTTTACATCAGCTGCTATCTATCCCTGTAGATTCACTTTGCTTCTTTTCCTTCTCCACATCCCAGACATACTGGCCTTCCTTTAATTCACTACATTAGCCATGTTCTCCCCTGCCACCAGCAACTTGAACAGACTGTTTTCCCTCCCCGCCCCCCACTTCCCTTACCAACACTTATCTCTACTTCAGATTCCCACTTAAGTGTCATTTCATTGCCTTAGGGAGTCCTCCCTGATATCCTCAGTCTAGAACAGGTTCCTTTTTCATAACCACCCACAGAACCATGTTCCCTTTCTATAAAGGCACTGACCTCAATTTGCAATTACACATTCTTTAGGAATATTCTTTGTTTCCCTCTCTAAAATCATAAACTCCAAGAAAGTAGGGACCATGTCTGCTTAAACTTACCATTGTAACCCCAGAGATTAGCACTATGCTTGGTATAGAGTTGACCCTCAATAAATACCTGAAGGGTGAACAAGTATACAAAAACTAACATTTTAACTAACAAGTATACAAAAACAAAACAAATTAAATGATGTCTACATAGTGATCACAATTTACATAAATTTACATAACACGTAGTATTTACCTAAGTACTAACAGCATATGAAAATGAGAAGAGGCAGAAGAGAACCAGAAATAGTGAAACAGGAGGAAAGTTGTTACATTTCTACCGTGGTCCTTTTAAGAATGATGGCTAAGATTAGGAGTCAGACAAAACTGACTTCTAGTTCTGCCATTTAAAAGTTATATACCCTAGCCAAGTCATTTTTATCTTTCTAAGCTGGGAAATCTGATGCTTAGAAAGATAAAATGTAAGGCATAAGGATACTTACCTCATGGAGTTGTCAGAGGAATTCAACAAGAAGATACATACAAAGTGCTGAAGACAAGTCCTACACTAACTAGTTATCATCATTTTTATTACTGAACATGTCCATTAGAATGTAAGCCTTTGAAAGGTGGGTGGGGGGTGGAGGGGTGGAAGGTTCAAGGGACTGTGGTGGAAGATTAGTGCCTTACAGGTGTGGATGTGATAACACACATATGTAGAGGTGTGAATCTAAATCACATATACAGTGTTGTATATCAATATTATCTCAGAAAACATAACTTTAAAAAAAGAAGGCAAGCCTCTGAAAAAAGCAGAGTATCAATGTGTCTATATCCTCCACAGAATGAGCTAAGCCTATCACAGTTCTGTTTATAGTAAGACCTCTGAAAACATCTGCTGAATAAATGAATCTGAATAAGTTGGAATTCATCATATTCCTTAAACTGGGCAACCAGAAACTGATATTTTAGAATCAAGAGATGAAAATAAAAGGCGTAGGTGAAGAATTCATTTTTCATCTGCAGTTAAGTGATCCAAAGAGGAAGGATGCTGATTATGCAATGGTAGAGAGGAAAAAGAATGGGTGAGAAACTTACCAGCAAGGTGTCCAGAGCATCGATTAGAGTCAGAGAAAAACTGTAAAAGGACATAAATCCCAGTTGCTTAGTAAGAAAATCCAAACACCAGATATTAAGGCTGCCCCAGATCAGATCCCCCCAAACTAATAAGTGAGGCACACTGATGTCTCTGCTGATCCCACTTACAGTCACAAGGATAAAAACTGCCAGTGACCCCTGATCTGTTTAATGCAGGGTGGACTGATATAGCACAACTGTGGTTAAACACATGGCCTATATCCCCTGGCATTCTTCTCTGCCATAGGGAGGTAGTGTAAGATTATAGCCAAGAGTACATGCTTTTTCGCATCTAGGAATTTATCTCACAGTGCAGAACTGTATGCTTGAGAATGCTCATGGTAGTGTTTATCGCAGGAAAAACTAAAAGTAACCCAAATGCAAGCCAGTTGAAGAGTGATTAACTAAATCACAGTAAATTCAAACAATGTGAAACTATGAAGTTGTCAAAAAGACAGTTATCAAGAGTTCTATGGGCTAATGTTAAGGTATTCAAATTATGTACTAAGTGAAAAATGAAGAAAAACAAGGTACAGAATAGGCAGTATAGGCAGTAAGCTTCTATCCACATTTTCAAAAAAAAGAACTATAGACAGAAAGCAGGTTAACAGTTGTTGGGGCAGTGGTGGTAGAGGAATTAACTCTGAAGGGGAATAAGGAAACTTTGTAGGGTGATAGTCTATAGCTTGACTGAATAGCTATTACACTTAAAATGAATGTATTTCATTACATGCAAATTGTGCCTTTAAAAAGTTAATTTAGGGCCTCCCCGGAGCGCTGGGTTGCGAAGCTGCCCGCAGCCTATGCAGCGCCGGTTCGATTCCCGGCTGCCGGGGCGAGGGTCCCACATGGCGCGCAGACCTCTCCTGCCGCCTGCTGCTCCCTTCAGCAGTGTACTTCGGTCCTTCTGCCTGTTCTGCTCCCCGCTCTGGCACTGGTGAGTTCTCTCACCCTCCTGCGCTTCTGATTGTACCCACTGCTTGTATAAATAAATAAATAAGTAAATCTTTAAAAAAAAAAGTTAATTTAAAACACACACCTATATATATGTATATGTATATATGTAAAAATAATGGTACAAACAAACATATTTCTAGAAGAATACACAAGAAAGTTAACAGTACTTGGAATTCTAAGGTAAGGAAAATAATTACTTTTTGTATATGATTTTGTACTGCACGAATTACTATTTTTTGTTTAACTTTTTTTCAAACAAACAAAAAAATAGCCCAAACTCTGTTCAGTTTACTGATTTCCCCAGTCCCTAGCATATTCATGTACAAAACAAAGATAACAGCACTCAATTCCTAGAGAATTAAATGAGCTGACACAAGTAAAATGCTTAGCACAATAATCAATGTCAGCTTCAGCTAAATGTAATGTTTCTACACTCTCTCAGTAAGGGACAAAACAGAGAACTCACAAATTTTTATTCTAGTGGAATGAGACAGGCAAACTAAACAGATTACTGAAAATGACAGTTTCAGAGAGTGAGAACTGCTATGAAGAAAATAACAGGGAGGATTCATGAGAGACCAGTAGGTCACAGAATATGAGAAATACCTCTGTAAGAGGTTCGTAGTTAGGGGAACTGATGCTGAGGAGGTGACATTTTGGACTAATCAAAACAAGCAGTGATGTGAGGATAATGGGGGAAGCGTGTTTCCATTATACTGACAACAAAGGTTCTGAAGTTTCATGTTTGAGCGTTATATCCCCTTCTGGATCAGTTTGCTCACTTACAAAATGAAGGGGGTTAAGTTTTCTAATTTCTTGGAGTCTTTCCACACTATCTCGTGACTCCATAGATGTGCCCAAGTCCCCACAGCTGGTGGCTGTTACTGCTGTGGTTGGAGCCCAGAGGTCCAGTCCACCAGGGTACCCAGGGCTTTTTCCACTTCGGGATCCAACTTTTCAGCTGACTGTGTGGATCCTGATGGTGCTGGCCTGAGTTGGGGGAAAGGCGGCCTCGTCTAGGCTAGAAGCTTTTCCGGAACTATGAAGCCACTCGCCCCAGCAGACCCACCCGTCTAAGAACAGACTTCCAGACCCCGGCCGCCCCCTTGCTCCTCCGCTTGCTCTACCTGCCCCAGGTGTCGTGCCCGTCACAGGTGAGAGGTCGCAGCTCGTCGTAGGGAAAGGCATTCTCCAGGTAGCTGTCGTAGGCGTGGTAGAACATGGCCTTGACACGCTCCCTGGTGCGGGGTACGAGATATAAGGTAGGGGGCCATAAAACGAAACCAAACAAGGGGAAGGGCAAGAAATAGCGCAGAAAGTGGGGATATCACCACCTGATTTCTGCAAGGAGCCCAGTGTCGGGGTCCGAGCAGGTCTGGGTGGGAGTCCTGGAAAGGAGGGAAAGGGAAGGGACTGGGTCTGCGTTTCCCATTCCCCAACTATGGAAGGGGGTGGGGAGAGCCTGATCCCCCTTCACCTGTAGTGGGCGGGGTCGGGCGCGGTGCCGTCGGGGCCCGGCGCACCATGGTGCAGGGGCAACAGCGCGCACAGGAGGCCAACCGAGACGAGCAGCCGGAAAGGCATAGAGCTCGCGTCCTGTCAGCGCCGCCACAGCAGCACCAGCCACCGCCACCCGCTCATCGTCGGAGTGTCTGCAGGTTCTTCCGGGAATCGGCGTCAATGCGCCTGCGCGCTGATGAATCAGCCACTCGCTTCCGGACTACAAGCCCCAGAATGCAATGGATGGCGGAACCCAGGCAAAGAGCATTTGGGGTTATATAGTTTCTTAAGCGAAGATCAACGTGTCTTAAAGACAGTGGCTATTGCTGCTGCTGGTACCATTATTAATGTTTTACTAATAGCATTTATTATGTAGTAAGAATATGGGGGGCACCTTAAATGCCTCGGACAGCCGAACAACCACACTTAAATACATTATCTTTTTAAAACTATCTTAATAAACAAAAAGACAGGGACCAGCGGGGCCTCATTACTGAGTGGGCTTATGTAAAGATGAAGAATGTTACCGTATTTTTAGGGAGTTTCCAAATTAATGAGTTTCCAAATCAATTCCCTGCTGATCGTGTAAGGCACAACTTACACAAGGCTGCCATTCATGACATGACAATTTTTCTTTAGGCATCTCCCTCCCTGCTCTAACACTCTTATTTGGGATGTGGTCACATCGTGGTGGTCCCTTCAGTCCCTGTCAATGCAAAAGCCTCCTCTTCCCAATCCGCTGAGCCATCTCATTAAGCTGCAATAATATACAATGCCATCATATAAGTATATATAGTGAGAAAGAAGATCCTGGAGGCACTGTAGCTTTGAAAAGGTTTTAGACACATTTTTCCATTTTCCTTCTTGCAAGTTCCCAGAATTTCACCAGGATCTTAGACCACAGCACTTCTCAGCCTTCTAGCTAAGATTAAGTGTCATAGCAACACCTATGACTTTGGGCAGTGTGATAGGCAATTGAAGTGAAACCTGGATTCAAGTCTAACTTTACCACTGATACCCTCTGTGGGTAACACCCAAACTAGAACCTCCCTCTTTCTAGAACTAGCTTTCTCACCTATAAAATGAGAAGTTTGACCAAATGGATCTCTACAATCCTTTTAACTTGACCTTTCCATAATTCTATGATTGGTCATACTCTTTTCTGCCGAAAAGAGTGGCAGCTCCGTTTCTTGAGCTGGCAGATTTGTTCTCCATTGGTCCAGCATCCTTAAAAATATCCCTCAGATAAATGTCCTGAAATGTCATTAGTTAATACAGGAATTAAAACCCTGACTTAGCTGAGAGAGCTTGTGGAAGTACAGTGTAGAGGTTAAAGTGTGGGTTTTATATTTGAGCTAGATGGAATTGGAATACTACTTCCACTGCCTATTCAGAGTGTGACCCCACTTGGTTTTCTTCTGAAACTCATTTTGCTGATATGTAACATAGGACTGATATTAGTACCTACCTAATAGGATTGTGAGGATTCAGTAGCTATTGCATGTAAAGCTTATTATCATAGTGCATGGCAGAAGTGAGACTCAACAAATATTAGGATATTTTTGGAAACTCCCTTGGAAGTGCCAGATGGAAGGGAAAGGAGTGGAGAGTAAACTGAGACTTGGATAACACAGGACAGCTATACCAGTTTCCTGTGGCTACTTGTAACAAATTACTACGAACTTAGTGGGTGGCTGAGAAATTTATTCTCTCACAGTTCTAGGCCTAAAGTCTCAATCAGTTTCAGTGTGCCAAAATCAAGGGGTCACACTCCCTCTGGAGGCTCCAGGGAGAATCTGTACCTAGTTTGTCCAGCTTATCCTGGAAGAAAGAATGTAACTGGCATTCCTTGGCCAGTAGTCAGATCATTCCAATATCTGCCTCCATCTGCACATTGCCTCTTTTGTGGGTGTGTGTCTTATCTCCCTCTGTATCTGTCTTATAAGGTCACTTGTGATTGCATGTGTTAGAAGCCAAATGGATAATACAGGATAATCTCCCATCTCAGGATCCTTAAATTAATCAGATCTGCAAAGACATTTTTTCCAAATTGGGTAGCATTTACAGATTCTAGGGAATGGAACCTAACTGTCTTTAGGGAGCCATTTTTCAGCCTGGTACAGGTCCTAAATTGTTGGGTTTTTTTTTTTTTTCTTCACAATTCCCCATATTTTCCCCCACAAGATCACTATTTTTTGTTTTTTGTTGAAAACAGATTTAGTTGTTCCCTCACTCTCCCATCCCTTGTATCCCCTTGCCTTTTCCCCTCCTCTTCCCTCTGGTACTAAGCATATTTCAGGTCTGGGCCTTTCCCTGTTAAGAAACTCACCAGGACTAAGCATCCTTCTCCATGTAAATCCTATAGCTTACATTTTGTGTCACATTCAAGATTCTAGTATGGATAAATACTTTCAGGGAGAGTGGGGTCAGGTTGCCTGAATTGGGTAAAGTTTGGTCTCTTTTTATGAAATGCTCATAATTTTTCCTTGTTTTTTAATTTCAAGTTTGATCAAAATATGCATTTCCCACACTGTCACAGAACAAAAAAAAAATAAAGCCATGACTTATATTTTCACAATTTATGTAGTTGATTTCATAGTTTTCTCAGGAGAAAACAATATTTTTTACACTCTGGAAAGCATTCGGATTCTTCCTTCCCAACTGTATCTCTCACTCTGTGTTATTATATTGGATTCTAGAAAGCTAGAGTCCACCAGTGAAGCATCAAATTTGAACATTTACTTGTGAAGAGACTCACAGTAAGTTGCCGGACCTATCTGGATCTTTATTTCCTGATTTAAAATGTGGAAATTGACAGTGCTATAAAATATTTCTGGGGATTAAATGGGAGAGTGGTGAAAATCCTCAACATAGTAACTGGAACATACTAAGTCCTTGATAAATATTTTCTTCCATACCCACCCATTCCTTTTGTTTACTGAGCATCTGCCCCTAGTAATTCAATGTGTTATAGGTAATAATTCTTGCCCCCAACAGTTTGAACCAAGTATTGGGCATATGGTGAAGATTCCAAAGTAGACAAGTCACAATCCTTTGAAGGGCTTGCAATTTTGAGAGAAAGAAACAATACCTATCAGAGATACTTGGAATCACAGTTGTTCATCATTGTCCTGTGGGTAAACAGAGGATACAAGTCATAGCAATACCCAAGTTCAATATCCTTGAACTCTGCACTGAGTGGAACAAACTTTGGGACTGCCTTTTCCCCCTAACAGAACCATGGTCAGAAGCCCTTAGTTCTTTATTGGTTTAACCATTGTCTCTCTGTGATCTTGGGCAAATAGCTTTCCCTTTGGAGATTCATTCAGTTTCCATATCTAGAAAATGAGAGAATGAGACTATCTTTCAGCACAAGGAAAATATTAGCAGATTCATATAGAATTACTGCAGAAAAAAAAAAAGCACAACAGAAATCAACGCACATCAAATGCAGAAATTTCCCTCCAGAAGCAGCTAAGAATTATTACAGAACTATAGGACAATACTTCAAGTTAAATTTGACAATTTGTGAACTGAGCAACAATAAGAAGGAGTAGGAAGAGGAGGAGGAGACCAAAATGCAATGATAATAGCGAGCATTTACATATGTTCCAGGCACTGTTCTTCCTACTTTACATACATCAGCACCTTAGTACATCCCTCTGAGACAGTACTTTTATCACCATAAAAGACATAAAATTTGAAGTACAAATGTAAAAGCTGAAGAGAGGTTTAGTAACAACCCATGTCTCACTCTGAATAAGTGGTACCGCCAAGGTTAGAACCTAGACAGGCTATACTGTATGGCATTGATGAAATTAATGAGAAATATATAAATAAAAGGTCAATATAGGATAGGAGGGTGGAGAGCTAAGTAACTTCTGCAGTGTCATCTAACCTTTGGTTCATGTGACTCGATATTCAGTATTTTCTTCCTTTGTATTAGAAAGTCAGAGTAAAAAGTTTAATCTCTGAAGCTCAAAGCCAAGGTACTTAGATCTCCTTTGATCCAGTACTTACTGTTTACTTTTAGCAAGGAAGTGTCTGGAATAATTTTCTGGCACCTGGAGATTTTTGTGGATTCTCCCAGAGCAGAATGTGCACACTACATGCGTTTGGACTGCCAAGAAATAACTAATCTGTCCTGGGAAATTTTCCATCTGTTGTTGTGTAGAAATTTTTGAATTTCCCCTGCCCCAGCTTATCCAAACATTTAGAGCAATAACTCTTCGGTCAGAGTCCCAGGATGCATTTTATAATGCTCATGTTCCACGTGAACTCAGACCTGAGGTTAAGTCTGCCTAGGGAAATACAGCCATTCAGGCAGTATTTAGGCAAAAGTACAGAATCAAGAAGTGGCCACAGGTGGTCTCACAGTCTGCTTAGCCCCAGGCACTGAGCCAGACAATAATCTTTGAGATTGCAAGCTTTGAAAATGATGCCTATCACTCAAAGCAAAAATAATCCAATACTATAAAGTACATGAAGGCAATAGCCAAAAGGTGGAAGCCATGCAAGTGTCCATCAAAGGACAAATGGTTGAATAAAATGGAATATAAATACAATGGAATATTATTCAGCCTTAAAAAGGATGGAATTCTGACATATGCTACAACATAGATGAACATTATGCTAAGTAAGACAGTCACAGAAGAAGAAATATTATATAATACCACTTACATGTGGTACCTGGGATAGTCAAATTCATACAAACAGAAAGTGGAAGTGTGGTTGCCAGGGACTATGGAAGGAAGGGACAGGTTATTGATGAATAAGCATAGGGTTTCAGTTTTGCAAGATGAGGAAGTCCTGGAGATGGATGGTGGAGGTGTTTGCACAACAATATACCCACCACCACTGAACGATACACTTAAAATGGTTAAGATGGTAAATTTTATATTACATGTACATAGCCACAATTTTTAAAATTAAAAAATGGAAAAAAATAAATGGATAATGGGTCAATTAATTTCTGATTTTTCCCATGATGCCTACATCACTGCCTTTTTGAGAATATTTGGTTCTCTTTTCCCCCAACAGGCAGAATGCCGGCAAGCCACCTGGCCACCAAGCAGTATTCAGTCTTTCAAAGAATATATGTTCTGGGGCCTCCCTGGTGGCACAGTGGTTGAGCGCTGGGCTGCAAAGCTGCCGGCAG